CTTTCCAAGTCGCTGCCATAGCTCTAGTAGGATCGATGGCGTTGCAGCGTTTCATCAAGAGAACTGTAAGAAGAATAATATTAATTGGAAGCAACTATTAACACAGTTAACTTTAGTAGAATAACAATATTTTTATAACCTTTGATAATGCGTAATTCTCGACGGAAAATACATTTATTTGCCAATTCATGTGGTTGAAATACACAACGAAAATCTGCGTCGAAATATTTGAGGTTGTTGTTGAAGCGTTTATTTCAACCACATGAATTGGCAAATAAATGTATTTTCGAGATAAAAACAACGGTAGTAGTTAATGACAAAGAAAGACAAGAAATGTCCCGTCGAGAATTACGCATTATCAAAGGTTATAAAAATATTGTTATTCTACTAAAGTTAACTATGTTAATCGTTGCTTCCAATTAATATTATTCTTCTTACAGTTCTCTTAATGAAACGCTGCAACGCCATCGATCCTACTAGAGCTATGGCAGCGACTTGGAAAGGATTATACAAGCGACATATCGGCTACGCCACACAAGACGCACGAAGATGAAAAGAAAAACAATTTATTTGGTATCTGCATTAAAGCTTATGAATATTAAAAGTGATATAAGTTCCAACTTAATACTATTGAATAATAAATTTGTAATTCGATTTTTCATTAAGAAAATAAAATGTAATGAGTTAAAATTGTGATTATTAGTATTATTGCATGTTGAAAATATTTATTCGAGATATTATCAATGAAAATACGCTTATATCAATAATTTTTTTTGGTACCGCATGTGGAATCCCATGTGGGATTCCATGAGGGATCCCATGTGGGATTGTGAAGATTTTCTGAATTTTTTGGGATCCTATGTGGGATCCAATGTGGGAAATCCTATCAAATTCCCGGTAAGGATCCCACATGGGATCCAATACGGGATCCCGCATAAGATCCCATGTAGGTTCCCATGTGGGATCCCATGTGGTATCCCATGTGGGAAATTCCAATAGTGTAATAGCATGAATATTTTATATTGATAAAAATTAAAAACTTCCAATCAACAATTAAATATATAAATTATACTTAAATTTATACTTTAAGAGCTGAATAAATTATTAATTCTAGAAATATCAAGGAATTTGCAAACAAAATGTAATTAAAGCTTGAACTCAAAAAAAATAAAATAAAATAAAAAAAAAAAAAAAAAAAAAAAAGCTTGAACTCGAACAAGATGATCTACATGGATTTCCGCTTATTCACGACGACATGCCTGCTGCCTCTGCTGCTGTCTTTCTAATTGCCTTCGGGCGCTGGAGATTATATCCGACGCTCTTCTTACCCAAGTTCCCATGCATTGTTGAATCTGAACTTTATCTTTAAAGACACTGTGCTCTTGCAAATACTCTGGAAAAACATTAATTATTTTTTACACAAATAAGTAACTATTTCAATTGTGAAGACAGACTCTATTCTAATATTTACCAGTAATAACTTTAAAGATACACTGAGAAATAAGTATGGTTGAATCAACAACAGACGCTCTGTTAAAATGGAGCAACAAAGACTCCTTCGTTGTTTCAAGACACCCGATATATCAGTTTTACAGACGCCCTTCTGTTGAATTGATACATGTACTCTGTTCATTTGATAGAACCTCCGTTGAGTCGATGTCATGCATGGCTTGCTTTAACGTAAGGTTATTGGTTCATTCATTTAAAACTTTTTTTGTATCAACCTAACGAACTAAATTCTCTATAAAATTTTTTTTTCTAATCTGAATAAAATGTTATATTCGAAATGGGAGAGAGGGAGAGGTAGAGGGGGAAGAGAGGTCAGATCAGACTATTATAAACTCCACATACACACAGAATACAAATTTAAACATATAGAAGACTACAGATTATTTCGCACGCAATTCCTAACGCATACATATATATACGCTCGCAACGATCAGGAGAGTTATTCGCCAACTCTCCATTTTTTTGTATAATGGGGGTCTTAAGGCTTCTTATATACTAATGGAAAGAATTTCTATGCACTCGCAGAAAAGATAGTAAATTAAGATTAGCCACCTAGTGTCGCTTTATATTACCAACTTTTCTGCTCTAAAATTTCTAGAGCAGAAGGGATAGAAAATAATTAAATTGACGTGTGAACGGATAAAAAATACTATGGTTCCATATGTTTGTCAAAATAATTTATTCAACTAAGAATTAAACATCATACAATACGTAACATTTCGAATTGGGCATTTTCTGTAAGTTATAAGTTGCTTGTTTAGGTAAGTTATTATAAGCAACCTGGTGATATTTATTTTCGAGTTCGATCTCATATGCACAAAAATGTTGACAGTAACGGACAATTTTTATTTTTCGGCACAAAAAAATGATATCATTAGTTTCCTTGTTAACCAAAACATTAATAATTGAGGTAAATTGCACAGCTCTTTCCTCAATATTTAAAAGTAAAACCGAGTTTTCGGTATATTTAATGCCATTAACTAAAACCCATGAAATAGGGACATAGCTGCTTTCAATGTTTTTTGTTAATTTTCTTTTAAACACATTATAGTTATTTAAAAATATAACGCTTGAAAATAATTGTTTGCCACAATCGATACTTCGTTCAAAGCCGCGACTCATAAGAAAACGATAATTCAGTTCTAATTGATTTCTCACAGCTAAAGTTTTCGACGAATTAACTCTTGATGTGGTCGATTTAGCCATTTCTTTCAATGGTTTGTGTTTACCTTCAAATCGCATGCATGAGAATTGACGCAATAGACCAAGCAATCTAATAATTCGAGGATAATGTGTCAAGTGATGGTGTTTTGGTTTAAGAGACTTTTTGAAAATTTTACGATATTTTGAATGATGGCTATAAATTTCTTTTTCCAAGTCATTGATACTTCTGTCAGTGAGAACCAGAGCAAATACTAACAAAGTGATTTTTCTTAGCGATAAATACAATTTCCAAATTTCGTTTTTTTCTGGTACTAAATCGCCTATAATAAACGTAAAATTGCTAACTAGAAATTTCATCTCAGCAGCGCTCAAAATAATACATTTTTTTTTAATTTGCTCGACATTCAGCTGAGGCGGTGCGTTTGATGAAACTTTATCGCAATAATGTTCTATTCGTTTTTGGAGTACTGCAAAAGTAAAAAGGTTATCAATAAAAAGAAAATGATATAAAATATCCCCAAGTTCATATCTACATATGCCCTCAAGCAAGTCGTGCATGGGATCAAAAGAAACGCATTTAAAAATATCAAAACCTGGTATTTGAGAGAAGACGCATTCCGCTTTAACACCATTTTCTTTTGTTTTTATGTCCAATAAATGTTTTTCTGTACATCGCAACAAATCAATATTTTCTTTCAAAGAAGTCGCACAGTCTTTTTTTGTCATATAATACATTTGACAAGGAAAATTGGAATTGAAACTCTCATGAAGTCCTATGTAATATGTAATGTATGTAATTCTAAGTTATCGCCGCTTAAATTAAAGATATCGAAATATATAGTTAACAATTCACCACCTACCGTAATACTGACACCATTTTTTTGTAAATCTTTTAATTGCTCTACAACTGGATAAAACAACTATGAATGCTTTACAAATTTTTTAAATTCAGACCTACAAAGTTGTAATAACAATATATTTTCTAATTGACTTGCAAATTCCGGTGGAATTGCTGTTATACTACAATAAAGGCCATGTAATTTACTACATCCTTTCCGCGATCCTAGTGAGTTATTTATTTCAAAGTCATCGCCAAAAATAGTTAATGGAAGTACTATTTTTCCTACAAATCTACTTTTAATGTTTTTCCATCTTTGGCTTTGAAATATTGAACACAGACAATTAGATTTTTCTTTTTTTTCAATATAGTCTACAATAGAAGAATAAACCTTTGGTAGCTCTAAGAAATTTTTAAGTACTTGCTTCAAAGGGATACTAACAACATTCACTTTTATTGAAGTGTATACTTTTTTCTTTCTAATTTTTTTTGTCTTCAAAACGTTTGCAACATGAACCATTTTAGGTTCAATATAGAATAATAATTTTAAAGAAACTAATGTTTTATGATGATTTGAATAATTTTGGAAACAATTTTTCATAATATTTATAACTTTACTCAATCTATCACATTTCATCCCAGTATTATTCAAAGCTTCAATTGAATCAGCAAAATTGGTATTGTAAAAGTTTTGAAATGCAGTTATAATAAATAGTATTATTTTTATCGGTAAATTTGTTTTCGCATACAAACTAGAAATGAGCAGATCTATTTCTTTTGCAATTTTTGTACCACAATCCTTTGGCTCGCTTAAAACATTAACCATAGTATGTGGTTTTAATATCTTTGGTGAGTTTCGATTTGTTTCTAAGAGCACTTCTACATCTAACGGGATATTTTCACCATCTACGAGTAATGGAGACTTTTCTACATTTACGTCATTCTGTTTGTTTTGAACTGTTTCTAAATCAACGACCAGCGATTGATTTATCGTCAAGAAATGAGTTTTAGCGTGTTTAACAAAACTAGATATCTTACTGAAAGATCTTAAACATTTCGTTATTTTACAAGTGAATTTAGAGCAACCCTTATGAATGACTTGTAAATGTTTTGAAAAAGTTTCCATCTCGGAAAAAATTGCTTCGCATACTGGACATTCGATACCCATTTTTAAAGTCTTATAATTAAAAAGAAATAGAACTAACTATTCTAAAACGAACTTCAAATCTTTGATATAGCAGCAGAACAAAAATATCTAAATATATTTTAGGCAATTTTTTTGTTTAGAACCGGTAATGACAAATTTATGTCATTCAAAATCTCCTCAACGTTCAAAGCACGTGAGTCCCACCGAGTACGGAAGCGATATATGCCAAGTTGTAATAGTAACCACAGATGTTCACTTTGAGGTGGATACAAAGCAGAGAAAGCGTGAAAAGACTTGAAACAGCAGTCAATGGCTCCACTTAATGTTGGAATCATATATTCATTATCATCGACAATTAAATAAGATGACTCCACTTCATAGTCATTTTCACCTACTGCAATCACGTAAGGCTGCAAAGTGATATTTTTACTGGAAGCAAAAATACGCCTATCTTCTTTAGTTCTCTGAATATCACCATAACCCTGTTAATGAATAAAATATTGAATAATATAAAAATGTTGCACCATTGAATGGGAAATTTCAATAATATTAAAACCTTAACGTGGGTGAAATGCCTTCGAAACTTTCCAAGCAAGACGGCTTCCAGTATTTTCTTTTACCTTGTGATATTCTAGCAGTTGGAGTAAACATTAAGGATAATTGTAAAAGTTGAATGAAAGTTCTTGAATCTGGAAAAATATTTGACTAAATGTAATACAGCATAAATTTATATAATAAGTACAATAAGTTTTACGTACAAACATACAGACCTTGTTTCAAGTTTTCTTTTTCTAACCCCTCTTTCAATATAACACTTATATCATCATTTGGTAAAGGTCTATATTGTGAAATCTTTGAGACAAAATCGCTGAAATTTTCTATTGCATTGTCAATTGGGCATATACCACTAAGTTTAAAATCAATTTCCCATAACTCATAACCTTTTGGAGTTTTCAATATGGAATATATATCAAAAGTGCTGTTCACACGTTTCTTTGGTGCTTCTTCATTTGTTGGATGTCTATACTTATAAGTATTACTCCAATGTTCTTTTGCATCGTCCCATGGCTCTTCAAAATTGCGAAGCCAGTTTAAACTGTGCTGAACATAATCAGAAGGTTCATCCTCATCACTATTTTCATAATTTTGTTGTACACTGGCTTCAGGCTGATATATTCCAATAGGTAACCTCCTGAGATTGATGTATTTATTTAAAATCTTTCCTAAAGCTTTCTGTCCTTTATTGTTAATAGCATTTTTTTTGCAACAGAAGGTGCAGTATATGGTGGCCAATTCGTTAGGAAAAACTTCAACAATTTTTCTTCTGAGAATCATAAAATCAGGCTCTTCCAATTTTCTACATTTGAAATGATAAATCTTTTATTCGCTCTTATTTATAAAATATGAAATTATATTGTAACTGAACAATTATTGGATTTATTACCTGTTGCATAATCTAAGGACTGCACACATGACAAGATGCACTAGTTTTTTTCTTTTTGTTACATTGAGACTGCGATTATGATAATACCACTTTAATACATGTTTTCCTTCAAAAGTCTGATCCAAAATCTTGTGAATGTCAATGTTTTCTGTGACAAAGAGTCGATTAACTCTTTCATTTTCATTGACTTCTTGTAAAGGTAAGTTTGGTATTGATGTGCGTATTATACTGATAGTTTTGTCTAGAGTACTGTTGGTTTCATTTAAGTGCTGATTATTCGTTCTGGGCTCCAAGACCTAAATAAGATTTATTATGTAAATAGTGACTTAATCATCAACATTGAGAAACCAAAACTAAGTCACATTTCACTAAGCTTATTTATACTTGGTTATGTGAATGTATACTTACGCGATTAGAAAAATAATCTTGGTGTCTAGTCCAAAATTTATCCAATTCATCAGATGGAAGAATGTTTTTGGCATCAGTAAAAGATATACTTTTCAAAGTATCCACCGTTATATCTTTCGCTACAAATTTTTTATATGCACAAACTACCGTTTTACAACAAGAAATTTAATTTAATTAAAGATACCCTCAAACAACGATGTGTACTCCTCATAACCAATACGAAGCAACAAACTATACAGTCCATTTTCTGCCATGGTACTGATATGTAAAGTGCAATTTGAGTACAATTTTAATTGCGTACATTTAGTTTTGCAACTTTTATAAGGACAATTAACCGGCCGGCGTCCGACGAATGGTTTGATACTTTGATAGATAGGTATACAAGTGGCGCTATGAAAATTCTGGCGGGAAGTGAACTGCTATGCATGCTCTGTTGCATGACACTGACCTACACTAACATACTATACCTATAGGTGGATACAGATTGCTATATATTAGTTATTTATGCGTCAGTAGCATGGAGACTATAATTTTTAAAATCACTTTAAACTTACATGAATAGGTTTGCAAATATGATATTGTTCTTTCACCACTAAGACTAATAAACTAAATGATACATACAGTTGATTGCAATATAATGCTAGTCTTTCAGATAGAAGATGTGATATTAAATTCCTTTGATAAGGAAGGAGCATTTTAACGATATCAGTAATACATATTCCTAATTCCTAGAAAAATAAAAATGAATATCATTGAGAGGAAAAAGTTATGTTATAAAAATTGAATTTTTGAAAATGTTAATATCACTTTAATATTTGTCAAATCTATTTTTTGAGCAGCTCCCATGTCTTTTACAGATTTTATATACTCTTTTAATCTATGTTTAATTGGGCAAGTTTCAAACTTCTCTAATTCTTGTAACACATGTAAAAATTGTTCAATTACAGCTGTAAATAATTGATTGTTACAATGATGTGCTCCAACATTTATCTGCAATTATAAGTTTGTAGTACAAGAGAGACAGACAGATAGACGCCGACAGCGGTACAATTATTATTTTTTTGAAACTTCAGTTGATTAAATAAAATATTTAGTTGATTCAATAAAAATTAAGTTAAATCAATATCAATGCTATTGAAACAAAAACTTTTGCAGTTGTTTCAACTTTCGAGAAGCATTCGTTTTAACCACCTAAGGTCTTTAGCCATGACATCAAGTTTTCTGTTGATTCAACAAGGTTCTGATATTCTAACATATGTGACGTTAACACAACATAATTGATGTCGAAACAACAGATTCTGCTGTTGGCTTATTTTATCATAATGAATTCTACCAATTCAACAGACGAGTCTGTAAAATCATCATTCGCGCAATTGAGCCGATAGAGGGCCAGTCAAGTGAACAGCGGATTAGTTGAATGAACAGCTGATACGTTGAACCAACCATTATTTTTTCTCAGTGTATGAAAATTATAAATAGTACATTCTTTTCGAGAAGTTTCCTTTAACTGGCACCATGCCACACTATTAGCTAATTCATCCGACATAATTAGAGACATAATTTGACCTATAGTAGTTGGTAGCTGGGTACTTAAGGACGAAAATTTGGTTTCCTAGAAATTGCAACTAGTATGTTAATATAATAATATTTAATAAGGATACATATTATACGAGAATTTCCACTTACAAATTGTGATTGTATTTTCTCTGTATGCAGATGCTCGCTGAAGATACGCAAATTTTCAACACTTGTAAGAGGAAATTTAGGCAGTAAGTTATTTTCAACAAATTTTTTATTCTCGGATTGCACCAAAATTCGATTTACTTTGTCCATAAGCAAATCTAACTTAGCAGCATATTGAGCTGAAAATGTCAAAAATATAGTTATCTGAAAAATAAATATTAAAATTATAAATAAGAATTTTCCTTACTACAGCAATTTTCAGAATGAGAAATATCATCCAGCTCTTGATCCTCATTAAAAACTTGCTGCTGTTGCTGCAATAACAATTGTTGTTGTTGCTCATGCTGTCGTTCTTGATCTTGTTGCTGCTGTTGGTCGTCTTCCTTTTTTCCTTCTTCTTTATTGAATAAATATTCATCATCTTCAAGAAACGAATATGGACTTTTATTGTCTTCATCGGTGTGATCATCACCTATTTTATTACTTGTCAAGTTTTCCTTTGATTAATTGCATTGCACTCTGATTATCAACGTGTAGCATTGGTCTTTGTTTTGTATTACTGCATTAAGCTTTAACTAATCTTTCAGTCCAAACAATTTCTTGAACCGCTGTGCAAATTCTGATTCAGTGGTAGATAAAGCTACTGTACTTTGCTTCTTTGATCCCCATGAAACTACGCTACTACCCAACTTTACAACAAAACCAGATACAGACCTTCTGCTTATTTGATCTGCAGCATAGTCAGCATCACTAAAAGCAATAATTTCTCTACAGTTATTAATTTTCTTATAAACTAATCCATAATCATACGTTGCTTTTACATATTTTAGAATTCTTTTTACACCGTTTACATGTATTTGATTGGGGTTTTCACAAAATTGACTCAAAACTCCCACTGCGTAAGTGATATCCGGACACGTACCGTACGCCAAAAACATCAAGCTCCCGATGGCTTCTTTATATGGAAAATTGATTACATTTGTTTTCGCAGCTTTTTCATAAATGCTTGGTACGCTGTTCGGATCAGCTGGTATAGTACAGGCTTTGCATTTGACATATTAAATCTGCTTACAATTTTTTTTCCATACATTTTTTGATTTATGAGTACTGAATCTTTAGACAACACATTAATTTCGATACCTAAAAATATATCTAATTTATCTGTTTGAATTTCAAAATTGTCTTCCAGATATATCAAAAATGTTTTAATTTGATTTTGATTCTTGCAAGCAATAGCACCATCGTCTACATAAATTACTAAAATCAATGGATCTTCTAAATCATTGCTTATAAAAATACAAGGATCTGCTTCAGTAGGATTTAAATTAAATTTTCTCAAACATTTTACAAATTTTTCGTTCCAGCATCTCGCAGATTGTTTCAATCCATATAAGCTTTTTTTTAATAAGCAGACTCTATTTGTTTTATCTTTAAAACCTTGCGGCTGTGCCATGTAAATTTTTTCTTCTAAATCTCCATAAACAAATGCTGTAGCAACATCAAATTTTACAGAATGCATTTTTTCAGAAATAATAATAGCAAGAAAAATTCTTATAGAATTGTATCTAGCAACAGGACTAAAAATATCCTTGTAATCTATATTCTCTACTTGCAAATATCCTTTAACAACTAATCTTGCTCTAAACTTTCTAGTCCCTGTCAACTCATCTTTAGTTGCATATACTCAACGATTTGACAATATTTTCGTATTCGGCGGAGCTTCTACTAAAGTCCATGTGCCTCTTTCATTCAAAGAATCGATTTCTTTACACATTGCCATTTTCCAATCTTCGGCATTATCACTATTCATCGCCTCTTTAAAGTCTTTTGGATTATCGAATTTTGCTAAAAATAATTCATCTACACTCTCAAAATCAAATAAATAGTTGTTTACTATATCACCACGATCTGGTGGCTGCAAATTTCGAGGATTTCTTAAATTAAACCTTGGCTCATTGTTTACAACAGCATTGTTTTCATTAATGTCATTCGCATCAACATTTACATCATTAATATTTTGATTTACAGGCACTTCTTCATTTTGCATTTCAACATTTTCAACTCTTAAATCTAAATTTTCAAACACATTTTCATGAGCTATTTCTCTTTGCAAATCATTTTCACCTACATTCTCATTTTCATGGTTATTTTCAATATCAATATTTATATTAACATCAGCTTGTTGATCATTTTCATTTTTGTTTGTTTGTTCTGACTTATGAAGTATATCACAAAAATAATTATCAAATTCTGCCTTATTGACATCATAAGCTTCAAATTCATTTTTGAATAAAACATCTCCATGCATCTCTATTCTATTAGAAAAAGTTAAAATTTTGTAGCCTTTTACACATTCATCATATCCGACAAATATTCCTAATTTTGACTTTGCATCCCACTTCTTTCTACAGCTTTTATCAATGGGTGCATAACTGTTGTTCCAAAAACTTTAAAGTATGTAATACTACATGCACGATTATGCCAAATCTCATATGGAGTTTTGTTTTCAAATTGAGTCTTTCTGCTCCTATTCAAAACATACGCGGACGTGTTTACCGCTTCGGCCCATAAGCGCTTAGAGAGAAGTTTTGAGCATAACATTGTGCGGGCCGTCTCTACTAACGTACGATTTTCTCGTTCTGCCTTGCCATTCTGTTGAGGACTATACGCTATAGTACGTTCATGTTTGATGCCATGTGCAAATAAAATTTCTTTTATTTCTTTATTTACAAATTCAAGGCCATTGTCAGTTCTAAATTTATTTATTTTCATTTTTGTTTCCTTTTCAAATCTTTGTATAAAATATTTAAAATATTTAGTAACCTCAGTTTTACTTTTCAAAAAATAAAGAGTAACATATTGTGAGAAATCATCTTTCAATAATAAAAAGTACCGTGCACCACCTAAAGAATTTTCTTCCATCGGACCGCAAAGATCCGCATGTATGATTTCTCCTACTCTGCTTGTTTTGAATTCACTAAGTGGAAATGGACTTTTATATAATTTACCTAAAGCACATCCATCGCAAAAATTATTTTTACATTCATTTTTTTTTGATATTGTGGTCCTTCAAATATTTTTTCACATGAGCAAAATTTTGATGTGCTAGTCGTTCATGCCATAATTGTATCTCATCTTTTGCAATATTTTCTTCACCAATCAATACTTTTTCTACAGGTTGAACTTTAATTTTCATTTTAAAAATTGCTTCATCATCATACTTATTACCAATTGCCATAATTTTACCATTTTTATAAAAAACACATTTATTATTGTTTGACTCAAAATTCATTCCCTTTTGCAAAACTTTTCCCATTGAAAATAAATTATACTTTAAACCCAGTACATGCAAAACTTTTTCTAAATATTTACTTTCCCATTCAATATCGTTGTACGCTAAAACATCAATATTACCTTCTGCTATCGCATACAATATCTTACCATCGCCGATTCTTATAGGTTTATGTGGTATAGGTTCATATGTAGAAAACCATTTTCGCTTGTCACACATGTGACCTGATGCGCCGGAGTCGAGAAGCCACGAAGCCGATCGGTTCTCGTATTCAATCGGCGGCACGATGAGCGTCTCTTCTAGCAGCGTTGTAGCTCCTTCCCTTGATAACGGATGAAGTTCTCCTACTAGCGCGCAATGCTTCCTCCCCTATGATTCCTCAACGTTGGACTGCCCCCTCGACTGCTCTTCGCTGGGATTTGCTTCCTCTTTATTTCTCCGAAGATGCCAACAGTCACGCTTGATGTAAC